AGAGGAGAGGAGAGGAGAGGAGAAAAATGCAAACCAAATTGCACCTCTGTTATAACTTGGCATTAATTGATATAGTGCTGACCATCTGTGGAAGGACAAAATTCACCCTAGGTGAGGAAGAAGCACATGGACATGGTAAGCCTGGAAAAGGAAGGAGTACAATGTTTGGTTTAGAACAGCACAGTGTCATTGCTTATCTGGCATGTCCCTGTTCATTGCATTTGCAGCAGTGGCTGAACCAGAAAATGAAGTGATAAGTAGCAAGAACATAAATTCTCAGAGAGCAGTATCTCAGATTGAGGTACACGTAACTGACATCAGGCAACGAGGTAAAAAAAGAATGGAACAAGCTTTTTTCAAAGACTCTCATTCCTTTACTAATGACAATTTAAAAAAAAAAAAAGTCATGCCCTTTCATGTCCACTACCAGCTGATTTCATTACTCATTCAAACAGCCTCGTGTCCCTGATCATCACAAACACATGGCACTCCAACCTTCACCTCAGTACCTGTGGCACACCCCACCTACTAAATCATGCTATTAGAACATACTTCAGCGGACAGTACACAAGCCTTTAGAAGGTACTGCAAAATTATGAAAATCACTGAGAATAAGCAATGGCACATGCAACCATAATGCAAGATAAAATAGGGGCTCTGTTTTTCAGTAGTGTGCATACCTCGTCTTTGAAACAGAAAGTGGAGTCCTACCGCCAAAATATACAAAGCAGGGGATGAGTGCATATCTTGCAATGAATTACTGCCCTTTGAATACAGATTTGTTACATTTTATCATAAATATTTACTGACTCTGAAGACATTAACCTGAAACAGATTAATTTTTGGAAACAACACCTAGGTGGCAATGCTGCTTCTTACCCAACCTAAGAGCCAATTATGTTTTTAAAGATGCATGGCAGAAAGGTGAAACAGAATTGCATTTTTACCCTGCAGGTGCACTTTCACCATCTCAGAACTCTTGAAATTATCCCTCTCTGTATTCTCCCAGTCCGATTTTACAGAGACATGGGCTTGTGTAAACCAGGAATGACTGCAATGAAATAAGTTTCACTGATGTAAAACAGCTGAAGGAAGAGGAACATGCCACCTTCAGCAAAAAAACAGAACCACCACCAAACCAAAAAAAACCCCAACCAGTCAAAAAAATGCCACATAACCAATAAGGTTTTAATTGAAAGGAAAACTGAACACACATTCCTTCCTTCTATGCTTAAATAGGAAACTATGGACTAAGTTGTTATGAAGAAAGCAGGATAGATGTACACTCTGTTTGCACTAGAAATAATTGAGTGTTTGCCAAAGAGGGAATAACAGAAAAAACTTGACATGATTACTGCAAACTATGTAATAAGGGATTCAGGAAAACAATCACATTCTCATCTGATTTATGCTCTTGTCTTGCAAAAGTCTAAACAGTTCTTAGGAACATGAAACAGGGTTAAAGTCACAGTAGCAGAAAGTGGACTTTCGCACTGTTTAGCAAAAGGGCCATTTGCATTTATATGCCTGCAGAGAGGGCACAGGCCCATGGGTAACATAATGCCTTTCTGCAGAAAGGTGTTAGGGGTTCTGTCTGAATTAGGTGTTAGTGGCACAACTTAGAAGAAGGGAATCAGAGGCAAAGCTAGTAGATGTACAACTGAGGTCTCAACACACATTTACTTTTCACATTCCTGTAAGCAAGTTGCTTAGAGAGGCCATGAATTAAACCAAAACCAGTCGTGGTTTGAAGCTGAGAAAGACTAGAAAATAGTCAATACAGAAATGCTAACATGGTGTTCTGGCTGGAGTACGACAAATGGCACAACAGAATTTTGCTGCCCCAGTGAGAAGAAACCAGAGCCTAGCTATATTCTCTCACTTCTAAATCTGAAGTGCTGCTGTATTCCAGTCTGAATACATAACTTAGATCAACTTATTGAAGCAAACTGAGCTGCCAGGCTCTCATGCCTTGCATACCTACGACTCCCACTGATTGAAATGGGAGTGCTGCGTGTATTCAAAGAGCGCATCCTCCAACAGTTATCTCCCATAGTTCATAAAAACAAAACCCAGGAGAAACAGATTCTGAAAGTCTGAAGCACACATATGAGAGTATTTGGAAAAAAAATATCAGTGGGCATCTACAAACACACAATCTTTATTATTCTGCCTCCATCCTATGTAATTAGGAATCTTAAATGCACGTATTCTATGCACACAATGTGAAAGCAATTTATCAGCCTGCCCTATTAATGTTGGACCTTTGCCTTGGTAAAAAAGACAAGGTAAAACAAGGGACAAAAATTGTAATACACTAAAGCAAAATATACCTCATTTGGCCCACAAATTACTTTTTGATTTAGGAGATACCTTAAAGGGATAGGAGGTCCTTCTACCAACCAGGAGGCAGTTGTGTTTTTTGTATTCTTATGCAACTTGCTAAAGAAGATTTTTAAAACTACTCTATCAAGGTTTGCTTAAATTTTCTTTCTGTTGCTTTTTAAGTACAAAATAAAGGCAAACATGACTGACAGCACAAGACCAGTTTGTGTCTGGAGAAACAGAGCACTTTTACCCTGAAAAACAAACAAACCCCAAGTCCCCAAAGCAGGACCACTACACCTGCACACTGTAAAGGTCTACTAGCAGTATAGATAACTGAGCACCAGTGGGTTGCAGTGATGTCTAGACAAAAAAACCAACC